CAAAAAAACAAAAAAACAAAAAACAAAAAAACAAAAAAACAAAAACAAAAACAAAAACAAAAACAAAAACAAAAACAAAAACAAAAAACAAAAAACAAAAAACAAACCTCCCCAAGAAAAAAATAAGGGGGATCAAGCAAAGGCAAAATCGAGATTAACCTTTTCCTAGGCAGTACTAAGGTAAAGGCGTCGCTACCTAGCTTTCCTACGGAATACGTATCCCCAAATCGCCCTCCGCTTGTTTTCTCTGGAAGGAATTCTCCCGGCTGTTGATCTCATGCCGCTCGAGAGGAGAGCGCTACTCAAAAGAAAGAGCTGATAAAGGTTACGCAAATTGGTCAGGAGTCCTGTAATGGCTGTGGAGAGCTGTGTGGCTTGATTGTGCGGGCCGCATAAGAAAAAAATCTCACTACATACTCCGCAGAGCGGCATTCACCTTGTTGAAGGTGTTGACTCATGATCCAGATCCACTATGTTCGAGGCCTGGGAAACCTTTGGCGTAGCTAGCTAGCATAACACAGCACAGCACAGAAGAAAAATTCAATATCAACCAGGCATGCAGCTTTCGAAGGGGGAGGACTGCCAGGTTGGTAAATCACAATGGGCTCATTCCAGATCTGCCTTCCACCATCGCGTACGGGGCTGACCTCTGCCGCTGAGAAAGAATCAGAATCAGAGCCTCAGACTTCTGGAAAACCCCACAAGTACCCCCTACCCCCAGTATACAAAGGAAGAGTACAACACTGTGCCGAGATTGGCAAACACTTTTTCGAAATACACAAACTTACAGATAAGAGCAATGACAAAACCGCAGTGATTCTGTAAAGACCGCATTCTCGCTGATGTGTAGTTTCGCTTGCCTCTCGCTGGTAATAAAAGATACAGTCTCCTCGCTGGAGCGCAGAGCAGAGCAGAGCACGCACGCAGGCAGACTGACTCACTGCATGTCAGGTATCTACCATATCAAAAAATAGTCACAACTCCTGCCACGCTGCCCCTACCAAGAGCAATGCCTGCCGTGCCGTGATTCATCAGAGAGAGCCCCCCCGGGCCCAAACACTCGTCCCGGTCCTCTCATCGTGATATGAGATAGAGAGTGACCGCACCCTCGTAACATCCTATGCACTAGTAATTCGCAAGAAAACCGCCCATATGCGATAGAGGCCCTGGTGTGACCTTCTTCTCAAGCATGAATCCTACCTCCCAGATTTGAGATGGCCAGGCATCACTTCGAAAGAACCAGCTGTAATGCTGAGTACCAGGAAGAAGCATTTTCATGCAAGGTAACCTAACTCGTCATCATCGAGACGCTCCAAGTACTCCTTTTCTAACAAGATGTCGATGCACTTCTTGATGTCGGGGATCTTGGGAATAAATCGAGTCTTGATCTGGTTGATACACTCGCTGACCAGTTGGGTATGCTTCATCTTCTTCCTGGCCTTCATGATACGCACAATTGCAGACTATTTACAATCAGTATTCTGCTCGCTCTGTTGGAAGTCGGTCCATCTTACCTGCATGAGTAGCTTTCTATCCTCCTCAATGGTCTTGTGGGTCTCATCAACTTCCTGCTTCTGCTCGGACTTTACTGGGATATTCAAGTTGATACGGATCTTCTTGCTTTTGAAGTCATAGTTGAGGGCGAATATCTTGCCTGGGCCTGGTTTTTCTCCATCTGGCGACATCGTGAGGACCTTGGCCTTCAAGAAGATAGCGAGGCAAGGGTCAAGAACATCAGCATGAAGTTGGGTGGAAGCGAAGATGTCTTCATAGCTGTTCTTGTCCTTCTCGTTAAAGAGTAGTAAGACGGCCATTTGGTAAGTGGACACCTGGAAAGTGTAGGGGGTCTTCATGTTCTTGGCATAGTTGGCTTTGACTTCTCCCTTGCACAATTGCCACAGCCAAGTCAGCTTTCTGCCGTTGTGCTTCTGGCTGTAGAATGTAGTGAAGCGCTCGTAAGCCTTCGCAATCTCGGCGGGCGCGGTGAACTCGGTGTTTGGGGGGTTTAGTGGCCAGAAGCCCGTACCCAAAATTGAGTAGGCAGCATCGACTGGCTTGGCATCTCCTGGCTCCGCCAACTTGCTCTCGAACTCCTTGAACCCAGTATTCAAATCCTTGGAGATCTGAATATCCTGGAACATACGCTGGAGCTTGTTGGTGTACTCGTAACCACAAGCCTCCTTCAATTTGCTGATCATACTAGTCTCCGCATCGTCAGATGAAGAGCTAGTGTGTACCAACCGACGGGCCAACATGCGAGAGTAGAACTTCTGGAACACATCTTTATCTTCAATATACTTGAAAATGGTCATGATCTGAGTTAAGGAGTTCTCGAGATCATTCTCCTCAGCCCCACTGGCACTTTTCTTCAGCAAAGCATCGGCGTACTTCGCAAGCAACTCAGGTGACTTGTTGGATCCGGATTTGCAGACCTGGTTACGGTTGACGAATTCCCTACATGCGTTATCCAGGGAGCGGGTGAACTCTGGCTCGTCCTTAAAAGCTTGCTTGACAAGACCTTGGTACTGGGTGTGGATCTCGAGCAGGGCATCGACGTAGACCTTGGGCTCAATCTTGTCAGCATCAGCAGCGATTTTCACAACAGCTGCCAAGCCAGCCTTTCGGACGTGGGCCTCGAACTTGGTTCGGAGGGGCTCCAGTCCGTCCGGAATCCTAGACAGTAAGTTGTACATCCGTTGCATATCGTCGTACCGATCGTTGTCCAACAGAATCTGGAACTCGTCCCGGAGGATAGCGGAGTGGTCGGCGATGAGGGCATTATTGCAGCACTTCTTCAAGGGAAGGATGATGTCTGGGTGCAAGTACATGTTTACGCGCTCCTCCTCCTCGTCCAAACGGACCTCAGCTTTCTTCATGTATTCCACGATGCTGTTCTCTGCAACAAATTGCTTCGACTCGACTTGGTAGAAGACCTTGGTAGCGTCTAAGAAAGGTCTCTCGAAGTTGTATCTGTAGACATCGAGAGTAGACTTGGTTGGGTCGGCTTCGTCCAGTCCAAGGGAGACAAAAGAATCTACGATGCTCTTGATTTGGCTGTGCTCAATGGTTTCGCCGTTACGTTGTCGCTCAACCATCTTCAAGACGGCCTCCATGACCTGGTCATGGACAGCATTGAACAGGGTCATCCGCCATTGGACCAGGTGAAGTGTATAGACATCGTAGATGTTCTTCTTTCCCTCGTCCATCTCCCGCTTTACCCAATGTCGGTTCAGGTACTTGAAAAGATGGTTGATGTATTTTGCGGCGGTCGTGTATCGGTCCCATTCTCTGATGTAGAAAGCGAGGAGAGCCTCATCGGAGTGTGTTCGGGATTTGGCGACCAGATCTTCGAGGTACCCGGTGAGGTAAACAATGAGGTTGTTGTACAGATCCTCTCCGAGGAGATGAGCTGCTTATCATTAGCTCTGTCATGCATATGAGGGTTGATAAGAGTAGTGAGTCCTCAGCAGGCGCTACAGTGCAGGAAGCGCGGGCGGAGGACTCTTACTAGTATCAATTCGTTCCATACCTCCACGGTGCGCACCTCCAATGGCGCCATGAGATGCGTTGCTAATTGCCTTTTGTGATGTACAGAAGTTGTGAACGGCGCTGAGACGATTTTAGCCCTCACTCCTGTTTGCGAGATCGAGACGACCTACGTGTAGACTCCCATGTATGTTGTCATATCCATACCATCTTGGAGATTGCTCATGATCTTCGAGACTCCGGCTTCAAGGTATTTCCATCTGCGGATAGTCAGTCTCTGCCATTCCCAACATTTGGACCGGAGGGGTAACTTACGTTGCCGTCAGGTCCTCTCTATTTGGAATCGGGGGCATACTGGCTACAGCCACGGGTTTATTGGACGTCATTTTGGCAGTGGAAGTTTCTTGTGTGATGATATTTGAGGATGGTGTGAGGAACGGATCACGAAGAGAGATCTTCTTCGCGTGACGTGGGGTTGAAGGAGGGGCGTCGCGAGCTAGGCCAGCAGGCAGGTCGGAGGCGGAGGGCTGAGGCGGAAAGCCGAGAGGGATGGCAGACAGCGGAAGGCGGAGGGCTTATTGCTGTTCCTCCTTATCGACGGGAACGACTCCAAGTAATGTCCTTGGAGAGCGACAAGATCGCCTTCAAGGCTACGCTCGAGGCTGGCGGATCCCGAGCAGGCAGCTGCACCAACCGAATATCGAGGAAACGCAGCGGCACGAAAGATGCCTGCCTGCGAAGCTGTCGAGGATGGATGCGGAAGAGAGCAAGATCGTTCGGGTTTTGGTCGACAAATATGAAGGAAGGGGAGATGTCGAGCTTGGTGGTTTGTAGAAGTTGTAGGTCCAAGTTCATGAATCAGATATCGCCAGTTGGGGCCTAAGCCCCATGGGACGCTAGTCGCAGTAGCGTATTTACCATGGCAGACAAGGATCATATCCAAGTGAATGAATCTTGATAACCATTTTGCAGTGAACCTTTTTTCTTTTTCTTTTCTTTTCCAAAAGCTTGCGTGCCTTCTTTGACTCTCCTTCTTCGTCTCAATCGATTCTCGTTACCCTCAAGTTCTCCCTATATTTTGTATCATCTCCTTTCCATTTGGAACTTCAAGAATAAAAGAATCAAAACATGAAAGCCCCTGAGCTTTTGCTAACCAATACAAAACACAAAAAACTAAAAATACACCCACGAACATCGATTTCACATGAACCTAACATCGCTCGTGACCATAAAGTCTCTCGTAGTCTCCAGTTACCAGATCATTCGCCACGATCTGATTCCCAACACATCCACCCCCGCGCCCCCCCCAAAATCCCCCTCTCCCTATTTACCGTTCACCATGTGAGCTCATATCCACCAATCCATTCCACCCAACACTTAATTAACTCCGGATTTCCCACAAACTCGACACATTCCCCTCCTCTTCCCTTCGCCCTCCCTCCTGCTTTTCTCCTTTTCCATCACCTCCTCGCCAAATAGCCTAGGTTTCGGCCACGAGCCCAACCCGGGCAAGATAGAAGCCATCGTCTCAGCTGGCGATGGGTAGCCTTACCCGCGGGTGGCGGCCACCGCCTCCTCGAAGACTCTCGCTCCGGCTTCGAGATACTGGAGAAGAATCCGGTATATGGGGACGAGGGCCCGGCTGTGGAGGGTTAGCGAGATGTTTGGGGGTAAAGGGAGAGTAAGGAGGGTAGAGGGTAGGCGAATATAGCGGGTAGAGACGATTGATAGGGTAAAATATTTAACCAGAACGGGACGGGGATATTCGTAAAGTATAGACATTATCAGCGTATTGGTTCTCTAGGTATGTGCCTTTTGATCTACCTATCTACACGAGAGGGTATCAGCCAGATGACGCCCGCGAACGCCGTGCCCTGTTGGCTCATCGCCAGATAGTATCCGAAGTTCCAAAGTTTAATCACCGTCTTCTCTGGCTCCGACGCGCTCAACCAGCCTACCATATCGTTAGCCTCGTTCCCAACACCAGAATATTTTCAAGGAAATATACCTGAATATGCTCACGGAGAACGTCAAGCTCCAGGCGTTCAGGGCAATCATCAAAATTGCACACAGCGCCTTCACCCTCCCACAAACAATACTATTCCTATCCGATTCTGGACTCACCTTACAAGCCCCATCCGCGTCCGTTAGAGCCCCGAAAGCTAGCGCTGTATTTGCAGATTCAAAGATTATGAAAAAGACGTCTAGTAGCACAAGGCGTATTTTAGCTTTGGGGGAGCGGAGACCGAGAGGCTTGCCGGTGTACTCATCCCATGTTATGTACAGTATATAGGGGATGGCGACGACGTCAACAACGATGGCCATGGTGGTTGAGGCGTTTTGCGAGTAGGAGTAGTTGTTGGAGAGATGATGGATGGAGGATGAGATGGAGAGGGCGACGACGGAGGTAATGAAGACGGTGATGCGAAAGAGAAGAGGGACGATGGGGTGAAAGAGAACGTGATGCTGTAACACGTCAGTATAATATTCCTTGGCAAGCCTTCCATATCCATACCTCCCAGGCCTTGAGCAACGTCTTCCGCTTCTTCTTACTGTACAGGAGCGTTGAAAACTTTTCGGATTCTTCCCCATTCTCTAAATCACCCCGCCATGGTTTATCGTATCCAGGAGTTTGCTGTCGTAGAAATTCCGGGGTAACAATTTTGCGGTCCTCGTTCCGTGCTGGGGCGTACATGGAGGATTTGATAAAGGGTACCCAAGCAGAACTGGATGGCATGTCGGCCTCGTGCATGATAACGGGTTCGGAGTCTCTGATATGATCCCATTTCCTTCCTTTCACAGGCTCTCTATGACCTCCGAAAAACCCGGTCTCGTTTTTTGCTTTGGTCTCCTCGTCGATCGAGTCGATAAATCCATCTTGAGAGATTCTACGCGTCGGGTTGGTCGGGGCATAATGGTGCTGGGCAGAATGTGCTCTAGGCAAAGAAGATAGGACGCGATCGCTAGGCTGAGAACTGGGAATATCGTCCTCATCCTCGTAGGAAGCTACCCATGCTGCCAAATAGTTAGTATATCGCCTTGCAAAACCTGATCGAGAAGCTTACGTGGGAGGGATTTCACAGCCCTATGAGCGGCAGCATTTCCCCCACGGATGCTTCCTGAAGCCTGGGTATTGCGAGAAGAAGAAGAGTTTGCGGATGGTGGGTTCTGAGGTTTTCTCGGCCTCCTCATCGCTTCGCTGGCGCTCGGCGATCCGTTAGATGAGCCAGATCCTGTCCTCCGGGTCTGGGGAGGAGGTCCATATTGTAAGATGTGAGGCGAGTCGAGCTGGGCCTTATGAGACGACCTCGCCAGGGATACATTGTCGAGGGCGTCAGAGGCTGCCATGGAGTCCTAGTAGTAGCGAAAGTACAAGGCTCGAGGGCGGACGAGCGAGACCGAGACGGTAGAGAAAAGACTAATGGAATTGTCAAAATCAACGCTACGAAACAGCGGGCACCAAGCGGGTTTCGCTGCGGAGAATTATTGTAGCAGCACAGGGCCGCTATGAGTCTTAGATGTCCAACCTCATGGAGACTCGCGACGTAAGAGGCGAGAGAAGGGAGAAGGAAGGCCAGTGACGAGAAGTACGGAGTAATTTCTCGTCGTATGGAATACGGTGTCTGGTGGGGCTAGATCGACATTCGTCCGCAGGGGTCGGCTGTTGGCGTTAAGCAGAGTCTGGAGAAGCTCAAAGACAGTGCGTCATTCCCAGGCCTGGAAACTAGCGAGTATCAACTACTAACATTTCACTTAACATTTCACTCACGACACCTTTGCAATCAACAACACATCGCCTTTCCCATCACCACGCACCTGGCCTGGACTAGAGTGGACTGGACTGGACTTGATAAATGGATTGAAACTGGAACATCAACTTCCACCGACCACATCACCGTGCGCTCGTCTCGCAGAATGCGCCTCTTCCTCCTCCCTATATCGACGCGCCGAACCCTGATTTACTGCCAGCGCCTCAACGTCACTACCGCGGAGCAGAAGAAAGGATGGGCGACTTGGGGTATTTCGAAGGCGGAGAAGCTCTGGACAGATTGGGAGAAGAAGGAGTCGGGCTGGCAGAAGTGGGTTGTGGACAAGGGCAACATCGCTCTCAAGAGGATCCCGTATGAGGAATGGGGCCTGAAGTCAATCCCTCCCCTGTCTGCGCGCAGGAAGGCAGAAGAGCTGCAAGGCCAGGAGATGGTGGAGGTGTTGTTTCCCACGACTTTGATTCCGCAAGAGACAGTTATGGGAGTCCTCAGGAAATTAGGAACAGAAAGGCAGTCATTGCATAAGCAGCGAATCATATATTCCATCGTAGGAATGCCCCTTGTCGCTCCATTTGCACTGGTCCCAGTGTAAGAGGTTTTTTTTTCCATCTTCCCTTACATGACTCTCATCATGCAACATAGCTTGGTACTTGCGCTAATCGCTTTACAGTATACCAAATCTTCCTTTCTTCTATCTCGTGTACAGAGCCTGGTCGCATTGGAAGGCCCTGTCGGGCTCCAAGCACGTTGAATTTCTGGTTAATAAGAACTTAATCAACGCCACGCCTTCGAAGATCCTTGACGACCTCTATTCAGATGGACAACGACCATTTGATGCTGTCTCGGAAACGAGTGAAGAGCCACCGAGTCACAAGGGCGGCATCGATTCGGAAGAGAGAATGGTGCTCCACAAGTCTAATGGGAAGAAAATTGCTGAAGGACTAGAGGTACCCGAGTTGGAGATCGAGCTAGATCGGGCGGTCTGGCAGGTTGAGACAGCGCTTTGGAACAAGAAGGAGCGCAAAAAAGAACAAAGGGATCTGAAAGAAGCGACTGCGGAACCGAAGGGGAAGCTATGACGAGCCATTGATTGTGTACCACGTTGAATGTTTATGTACAAGTACAGGGAGGTGACTACGAGCAAGACATAGACTTAACTCCCTATTAGAAGTTGGTCATGGCAAAGCCTCATTCAAACGAAGCTTTACCATGTCCAAGTTCCTGCAACCCAATGCTCGCGTCTATTGATGGACTTCCGATATCACCCTGCACGTTTGGTGGATTTTACAAAGATATATAACCTCGGTTTAAAGTTCTCATGGCGTCGGGGACTTTCTGAGACTTGGGAGGCATACCGTCCTTGGACAAAACAGAGACTGGAGCAGGTGTATTTTGCCGAGTCCCGTGCTCTATATTCAGTCAACACCTTTTCCCATCTCTTGTATAAGTGAGCTTGCGACGGATGAAATATTTGCTTGAATACTTTTTGTTTCTCGGTCAGATTGATTTTTAGTCTATCACTCCTCGAGGCACTCTTCTAGCCTGGTTAACCTTACCTAGGTAGCCACATCTTATTTTTTAAGCTTGCTCATCGTTTAAACTCAACGGCCCGCGATCGTGTTCTACCTAGTATCTTTTCGAAAAAATAAATTGTAAAAGGATACGGAAAGAAAAGAAACAAAAGATTTAAGCAAGGAAGTCAGGACAAATTTTCCACCCCATGAGGCCCACTTCCTATCACACAAACACTGCGGGCATACTGATTATAAAGGTCTCTTGGGAAAAAACAACAAAGACTACCTAGCGCAGGTATGTCTAGCCCAGCGTCATACTCTCTCCTCAATTAACACCTATTCCCTCCCTTATAGGGCTAAAGATCGTGTGAGGGAAAACAATCTGCAGGAAGCTAGTTAATTACAGGCCCAATCGAGGCCTTTATGCAGCGAAGTAAAAACCACGCCTAGCTTAGGTAGTAGTAAATTCCTGGGTCCTCAAGACCCCTTGCTGGTGTGGGGCGCAAGTGGGGGTCGGATAAGCGACGATTAGGGGTCGTCTGCCAGCGAGTTCACTTTTAACCTTATTATCTCAGCAGGGGTGACTTTAGCCTTAGCACCTCATCTCTTGGAAACAGCGGGCAGCGCAAGGTGGTCGGGGCTTTCCCAAGTAACCTACGCGCCATTCCACATTCCCTTTCGCAAACATGGCGCGAATTGAAGACGACGACGACGCAGAAGACGGAGACGACTTCCAAGGCGAAACCACAGCCGTCAAAGGCGAATATTCCTGGCCAGCACAATCGTCGTCAGATAGCATGAGGACCGAAATTGATGTGACGACTCTCCTTGCGCAGCATGCCCCTAGACATCTCGAATCCCCAGAGCCGTTCGAGGACGATATACTTCCTCAGAACTCGCCTCCTGATCTTACACCCCACCAGAGCTCGCGGCCTGGAACGGAACAGAGACAGAGGGTGGCGAGTACCATGGAGGAGAGATTAATGGTTATGCCGCAATTGCGCGAGTTGCCCTGGCGGGAGGGGATTAGAGCCGGGGCGGAAAACGAGACGGGAGGAGAGTCGCGGCGGAAACAGATTCGATTTGGGTGCTTGCTGGCTACGAGAGGAGAGATCCAGCAGAATCCTTGTCTTAGTTGCGCCAATGGTCGAGGGAAGTTCAGTGTTTGCGTCGCATTAGATGGGTTCTTCAAGGGAGCTTGTGCCAGTTGCCAATTAAGCGGCCGGCCAAACCGCTGTAGTATCAAGAAGAACGAAGGCGAGTTTTCTCTTGTTCAAGGTCTTGAACTAAGGCGCTAATTTCGACAATAGTGGGCGAAATCGCAGAGAGCCCAACCCTCAACCCGCCTTTACCGGAAGAGCCCAGCTCCTTTGTAGATCATGGACACCCACCGGAAGCAAAACGAAGGAAAACAGACGCGGTTCCGGAATGGGAAAGTGCAAGACCCCAATGGGAGCAGGAACTGGGGGAGTCTCATGCGAGGCAACAGATGAACGAAATAGTGCAAAGACCCTGGCCAACCGTCAACAACTCTCCAGCGTCCATGCCGATTCAGCAGGCGATGATGAACGGTATGAATGGCTCAGGATCAAGGCCACCTGAAGGAGCCCATCCGCCCCGTGATTCTCTGGGGTGGGCATCTGTAAATCAACCAGTACCGATGCCAGGACAGGCTTATAGGAATAGTGCCGATGGTCAGAGCTTCCGAGTCCTTGCTGAGCAGGGGAGGAGAGAAGACACGGGAAATGACGACGGGCTTACGTTAATTGATACCCTTCCCAAAAGTAAGCAGCGGCAGGTCTACGGATTGATAAGCGGGATTCAGGGAGGCATATTTACTTTGCAGCGGGAGCTTGACTCGCTGAAGCGAGCTCTCGGAATCGATGATGAAACTTGACGACACAACCAACGGATGCGCAGACTATCGAGTGGAAGCTTTAATGTACGATAATATAATCAATTTACTTTTAAAGCTGTTGGAAGCGTGACCTTGATTACCAGTTTCTCCACCATCGACGACTAATCGCTAGTCAGCCACAGTTTCCGATAAAATGACGCGAGGGGTTGTATGATACACTGAAAGGATCCAATTGCAGACAGACATTGAAATTCTAGAATCATTATTTCCGCTTCTCGGACTCGAACATTTATGATCCGCATGTGTATTTTGCCTCTAGATAGGTGCTATCGGAAGGTACGATTCAGACTGGCCCCAAGTGTCCGTACAGAATATTTGTTGTAGTTGTAGGTAGCTGAAGGGGATGCCGAGCAGCCAAGCACTTTTTATTGCTTGTATTGATATCCACCAATCCTTAACCACGATGTCAAACGTAAATAAAGAAGCAGACACTAATGGATCGCAGACAGAAATCCGTAGGCCAGCATAACGACCGTACCGTACTAGTGATGCGCATTCCACAAGACAACAAGCCCAAAAACCTGGATGTGGCCGTTTCCTTGGTATACCAGCTAAGAGCCCTCCCAGAATTTACATCCCATACCTTGGAGACAGTTGGTGCGTATACGGCATTACCGGCCAATACTGCTCCCACACTCACGAGCCCGGATACTCTGACACCTCCGCCTCTTCCTATCTATCCGCAGCTGGCTACGAATATGTTGCTACAAGCCGGCATTGCTAAGGAACAGTCACTGGCCGAGCAGAAGCGCAATGTGGAAAAGATCATCGGTTTTCAATCGATGGTCTGAGCAAATCAACCTTAACCGAACGTCGCAAGGCTGAGTGGCATTCGAAGAACACAGCTGGGCCTCACAGGTCCGGTCCTGATACTCGTCGCCCAGGATTGATTCTGGACTCAGTAGCTTTCAGACAGGCTGGGGATATTCTGATAGGCCAGCGTGCATCAGTCATCGATGGTCGCTCTAAGGCTAAACGACAGCAAATCCACTCAATTCTGGGTGGCCTTCAAGGATCCATCAACCATGTGCAGAGGGAGCTGGAGTCACTGAAATCGTATCTAGGCATTCATGAAGGGAATCCTGCAGGTTGAAAAGATGGTCAAAGACAGACGACTTCTCAACCGATGGTGTACTTGGAACTGCAAATGGAGAAGGGCTTAGAATCATGTGTGTTCCTGGACTGGATGGCAAGAATAAATCCCACCCCTATTAGCATTACGTAGCATCCTCTTAACTTATTAGCCGAGGACCCATACAGGACGCCATTCTTTTCTCTCCCCTACTTCACACTGATTCGGCCGACTCGAAAAATTATTGGCCTCACTCTTTTTAGGCTCGTCTATCACCCACTGGTTGAGGACCATCCCACCTCCGTAGGTATCGATGTCTTTGTTGACAACACCAAGTGCAGCTCGGATAGGCCTTGGCGAGGTAGACGATTGCCCGGGAATGGGCTGGCTGGTCTAGACGTAGGATGCCTGCATAATGAATGTAGCATGAACTCTTCATTATATAAATGGAAAATCTATTATTATCAGACTTTCCCTCTCCTTGATTGCCAAAAGAAAAAAAACCGAGGGATTGATTCTCTGTCATGTCAGGTACCGTACCAATGTTTCTCTCCTTGATCCTACACCCTTCCTTTGTTCTCGATATAAATTCTGGCCAACTCTACAATCACCGTATTAATATATTGCATTACTGAGTGTCGTAAAATCAAGCAATCGCTATTTTTTTATGTAAAAGTACCAAATTAGGGTGGGGCTGTATCCGAAAAGAGCACCTGACATCTATCCAAACGTAGCCGGACCCAAGAAACTACGAACGAACGACTCGGTCCGAACCACAAGTCACTAACGGATACCATAAACTCACAGGAGTATCGAGGGGACGGGGCTCCAAGTCGACAGGAGGTCCCAAGCCACGATGTCCTCCTCGGCTCGGTCGCCAACACAATAACAATCATGGCGCCAGGCCCATCGGAATGCCTAGGGAACAGCACGGGGCAGAACGGATCCGTCACCTCCGAGAAAAATGATACCATCTTGACCTTTGGGAGGTTCAAGCTCAGGGGTAAGACCGACGACTTGCCTCAGGACTGGTGGTTTGCGTCCACTGCAATCCCGCTCGTGGCGGCGACAATAGGGCCGCTGGCCAATGTGCTGTCCATTGCGGCACTGGTGTCGAAGTGGAGGGTCACGCTGCCGATGAATGGAGAACTGCCTGAAGGCACTGATGATAATGGGACTGATATCCCGGATCCTGAGTGGTGAGTCGGAATGGAAAAAGAAGAAGAAACCTGCCAATGGTGGTGGTCGTCTTGGGAGCTTTCTGTTGATGAGTGCAGGATTATCATTTTAAACGCTATTTCTCTCGCCTGCGGCTTCTTCGGGAATATCAGTCTGTTGTTCAATTTTACGCAGAGGATCAGGTATATTGTTGCTTTGCCCGTGACGATCATTTCGTGGTATATTGCCACTGGTATCGTGAGTCTTGAAAACGGGAATATAAACAAGATGATTGATTGGTACTGTAATCTGCTAACAAAATCTCTAGCTCATTGCAATCACTGTTGCCATGAACAAGTACGTGCCGCCTGTAAGACCAGGAGAGACCTACTCGCAAGGCTTCTGGTACGCAATTATTGCCGCAGTTCTTTACCTGATCGGCTCCATGATGCTGATGGTCAATATGCTGGGTTACTTCCTCGGACATTACCCTCAGCATTTTGATCTCGATGATGATCAGAGGACGCTTATTCTCCAGACCATGATGTTCTTTTTCTGGCTGGCAGGAGGAGCGGCCGTCTTTCAAAAAGTCTGTGGAATGTCCTACGCCAACGCTCTTTACTTTTGCGATGTAACTGTGCTCACGGTAGGATTCGGCGATGTAATAGCGAACAACGATGCTGGGCGTGGATTGGTCTTTCCATATTCCGTGATAGGAATTATATTCCTGGGTCTTATGATCAACAGTATTCGAAAATTCACTGTGGGCATATCCAAGGACAACATCATCAAGAAGCACCAGCTCAACCAGCGAGAGCGGACTTTCAGCCGTACAGTCACTTCCGAAAAAGAGCTTCGGGACCGACTAGGCCTCCCTCCCAAGAGAGAAGGCCAAGAACTTCGGCGAGAGCGGCGCCTCCCATCGTCTATAGAACCTGTTCGCAGAAGCTCGTCACTCGATCAGTACGGACAATTCAATGTCCGAGGAAACAACATCACATTCAAGGAGCACAAGGAAAGAGTACTTGCCACCGGCGGTGGTCGTGGCGGCGCTGGCAAGGCGCATAAGCCGAAAGCCGCACTAAGTCGAGATGCAAAACTACAGCGTAGGGCTGCGGGAAAGGGACCAATCGCCAGAAGGGCAAAACATCGAGAGAAGCTCATTCTGCTAAAAGAAGAGAAAGATCGGTTTGATGCCATGCGAGACATTCAAGCCCATACCAACCGCTTCAAGCAGTACTACGCACTGTCCATGTCCGTCCTGGCGTTCGGAATTCTCTGGTGCGTAGGAGCACTTGTCTTCATGTACGCAGAAGCACGCATTCAGAATCTGAGCTACTTCGATGCCCTGTACTTCTGCTATGTTTCGCTCCTGACAATCGGCTATGGCGATTTCAGCCCGCGCTCGAACGCGGGGAAACCTTTCTTCGTCGTGTGGTCCATCGTTGCCGTTCCTACCATGACGATCTTGCTTTCCGACATGAGTAACACTGTCGTCTCCGCTATAAATCGCGGCACTTTTACTCTCGCCGACTGGACCGTGATGCCTAAAGAAGGCATCTGGCGGGATTTTGTGCTCAGGCATCCTAAACTGTCAAATTGGTTAGAGAACCGCACTCAGAAGGTCGAGGAGAGAAAGCGGCTAGAAGAGGGCTTCCAAATACAGGACCCAGACGAAGCAGTCGGGATTCCGAGTAACGATCAAGAAGACTCCGTGCGAGCACTCACTCTGGAGAAGCTTGCGCACGAGGATCCGAAAGTCACGGAACATGATTTAGCAAGAAATTTGGCGCTAGCGATCAAGAAAACGGCGAATGATTTACGGGCTGATACCAAGAAGAGATACAGCTATGAGGAGTGGGTTGAATTCACACGGTTGATACGCTTTAGCAGCGCGGAGAGACCCGAAGAAGTCGACGAGGAAGAGGAAGAGGAAGGACTGATTGAGTGGGACTGGATCGGGGAGGACAGTCCGCTGTTAGCTGATGTCAGTGAAAGCGAGTGGATCTTGGATAGGCTATGTGAGAGTTTGAATCGCTACACGAGGAAGCAGGCGAGAGATGTAGGTTCACTCCCCTTTTCTCCCTTCTTCTTCTTCGCATGCATCCCGTACGTTCGGGTGTTCCGAGCTGACGATCTTCAGACGAAACGGCATAACCTCGAGCACGAACACGAACACGAGCACGAGCACGGCAGAGACGTTACGATCCACTCTCCAGAGGACCCCCAGCTCAGCGGGTCCTCTCCAAAAGGAAAGAAACGGCGCCGTGATGGTCACCACATCGAGACGAACCCTGCGCACCCTGAGCCGAGGAACCTGCAGCCACGTTTGCGCACGCGGTCACGACCTCATGACGGCGCTGCTGATGGTGATGGCGGGCTGAGAAGCCCTGTGCTGAGGAGGGCTCCGTTCGGGGATGAAGTAGTGAAATTGGAGAGCGTGGCTGCGAATGGGGATCGTGATCCCAGAAAGGGCAGTAGCGGTGGGAGAGCGCTCACTTCGGCTGTTAGCAGGGAGGATCACGCTGCTGAGTCTCAGTAACGAGCGGAAGAAGCGCCCGAGGACGGAGAGGAGAGCAAGGAGAGCGAGCTATGGAAATGACTTCCGAGCGCGTCAAGGAAGGAAGGGGGGGGGGCTTAAAGGGACGGAGCTCATCATTCCCGCCATTTTTAAGGGCAGCGATACATACATAACCCGGTGTTATGAACGGAATTGGATGAGTGGTCTTTCTGAATCGGGGTCAGGGGACATACTAGGAGCAGGCATATCATCAAAGTGTAATACGGAGGAGGCGCCTTTGGTTATGCACGCATATATATATATACATGTATACATATATATACAACACGTATGGGATTATGGCTGGGCATATATAATGGATGGGTTTATAAGTGAATGATGGAGCTAAGCGAATCCCTCGATTCCCCCACATTAGGCTAGAACTTCTTTTATTCCACCTTCTCTTCCGCAAGTCATCAAACCTCAACAACAAAGATTTTTTTCGAATGAGATCTAAGCAGCTCTTTTGCTTACTAGATCAATTCCCTTTTATTGCTTTCATGACTTGCATACTCTTTAACCTTTTGATCAAATTTAAATTAAGTACTCTTTCTTCCTTTTCCTTTCCCCCCTTCTTTTTCTTTATCAATAGTCACTTGCAATAATACTACCCAGAACCCTTGCGCAAATCGCAAGCACGGCCAAAGCAAACGCGACTAAGGCCGCTAAGAGAGCTGCTCTTTTAGCCGCTAAGAAGAAGAAGGCCCTCGCGCGCGCTCAGATTTAACTCGAAAACGAGGATGCAAAAGAGGTGGAAGAAAGAGGTGCCGTTTTCGATAAAGAGATAGAAAACATAAAAGACGCGTTCGAATTCCAAAGCTTTTTCGACGAATCTTTCGCCGAGAAGCGCGCTCGGCTTGCTTTCGAGAACGACGAAAGGAAAAAGGAGGAAAAACATAAAGCGGAGATAGCTGCTTTGCTAACACTATCTGCGCTTTTGCTTATCATTAAAAAAGTAGCAGACGATTACGGTGAGAGCTCTTTATCATTATAATAGCGAGAGAGTTTGTTTATCTTCCGTAAATATAGCAAAAAAGATATCATTGCTATTGCTAAGAACACTTACAACTTTATAAACCTCTCTCGATTGTTACAATTAAACGCTGCTTTGCATAGCACTAATGAGCTAGACATGATCTAAGAAAATAAAAAGCTAAAAGGTCGGAAGACGATCGAAAAGCTTTCGGCTTTTAAAAACTTCGAGTTTTAATCCGACAACTTCTTAAAGTACATTGCGATCATCGGCTATTTCTACGAATCAACTTCACTCGGTTTGCTTTAAGCTTTAATAACCTTTTATTAACGAATCATAAAGCTATCGAAGAGCTACAAATAGCACGGCGCTATATTAAAGCTAGCTATATCGTTTTACGTACAACGAGCCTTTAGCATCATCGGCGACGTTATTAAGTAAGAAGTTACTAAGAACTGCTCGCGGATATAGTAAAAGAGTATACACGAGATAACCAGCTCTTTTTCTTTTAAAGCGCAAAAGCTATCGAAGGCAGCGTAACAAAAAAGCTTACGGCTAAAGAGATTGCGGACAAAGCAAGCGCTTGCTGCCGTAACTTTAACAAAGACAAGTGCACTTACTCGAATTGCAAGTTCGCACACGTTTATAGCACTTGTAGCGGCAATTACGCCGCTATTAAGTATTCCTTTTAAAAATAAAAGGTTAGTGCTAAAGAAGATGGGCTCGTAGCTCTCTATTAGTTTTTAAAGTCATATAAGTGTTCCTTAGCACTTGCACGCTTTAATACGACATTAAGATTTCAAGTCGTTAATACTTTAAAACCTTTATTACGCGCGTTTGCTTTTCTTTATTATATTCTTGCTTTTAAAGCACTTTTGCAACTTTACTTTAAAGACTTAAAAACACTCTTCTTTTAAATACTTCGCTACGGCGCTTTAACGGGTTATACTAGACTTGCATGCCGCAAAGTGTAAAAAAACCTTTTTACAGCTGATCTTTACCTCGAAGTTATAAACGATCGAATAGCCTTAGATCTTTTACTTAATCGGATTTAAATAGTTTTAAATAATATTACCCTTTTGCTCGTATCACTTTTTGGTTTCGCTTTTAAACACGATAAAACGTAGCGAAAAATTCAGCACCTCTTTTACTTTAAAAACTTAAAGAGTTTTATCAACGACCAAATCTTTAACGAAGCGGCGACGTTATAATACGTCTCTTTCGAAAGACTTCTAGCAATAATGCTAAAAGCAAGTCAAAAGTGTATGCTCTTAAAAAGAGATACAAAAGATGCTTTTCGAACGATCTTAATAGCCCTTTATTAGCGTTAGCACTTAAGCTTTTAATAAAAAAGGAAGTACTATATAGATAACGTACTTCCTTTCGGCTTATCTACTTCTCTTTTCATTTACAACCTCTTAGCCGAAGCTTAGTAATAGATATTATAATCTTAGTTAAGCATTAAATATATCGAGCACTTTTTTGACGATACGATAATTGCAATCTTAGCTTTTTAAATCTTTTAACTTTTCGAGTTTAAGCGAGCTTACGACGAACTTAAAGAGATCTGCGGAGTCTTTAAGAATAAAAAAAAGAAAGAAAAAAGAACCGCGATCAATTTGCTAAGCTTCCGAGTCGATACGTATACTTTTATAGTCTCCGTCCTTTTAGAAAAGCTCTACCGAATTCTCAACTTTACTTAAAAAGCGATTAAAGACGAGCATTTGACCCTCTTCGACGCTCAATCACTTACAAGCTTGCTAGCCTTTTGCGCTTTTGCAGTGCAGCTTAGCTACGTATTCTGCCGGCGATTTTAAACGTTTATCGTAACTTTTAGTTCTAAGTAGCAAAAAACCTTTAAGCGCAGAATCCTTCGATTAATGATAGATGATATCAAGTAATAGAACAAGCTATTCTTACTCTACAATAGCGTCCGCTTTTTTAATAACGCTTGAAAGCTTATTATACACTTATTTAAAGATGCGTCCTTTTTAAGTCTCGGTGCCTTTTACTTTGACTACGTATAGCAGCAGCGCTGCATTTGGAAAGAGCACGTATCGATATTGCAAATCAATCACGCATATGCTAAAGACTTTTTACTTGCTAGCCTTTTAGCTGAAGAATTTAACATTAATATTTATAAGATCTAAGCGGTCTTTAGAGCGGTCGAACTATAAGGCTATAAATAGAAGCGAAAAAAGCTAGTAGTCTATACGGATAATACTATTACGCAACTAAGCGTAAAGAAGCTTATACTTAAATCCTTCGAGCAAAACGAACTTTTGCGGAACCTCTTGCTCGCGGCCGCGCAATTAGACTTGCTTATCGAAGCAATCCACTTACTAAAAATTGATAACGAGCTAGCCGACGCTCTTTCCCGCAATAAAGTGGAGTATATTATTAACGCATATCTTTAGTAGCTCTTTACCTCATCTTATACGTTAAGCCTTCGGCCGAATTTATTTATAAAGCAAGCGCTTCCAAGCTTATAAAGAAGTTTTTATATTACGAGGTCGCTTTTAATATTAAAAACACTTACAAATCTTATTAACGTTCTTAAAAAAACTTCGCTCTTATTACTTTAAAGATCGATAAGTATCTTAAGAGTAAAGCAAAGGACTACGACTTGATTGAATAGATCGCGACCCGAGCGTTCGGTTCTATCGGTTAAAGGCCATTTAAGCTAGAATCTATTAAAAGAGCTTTAGCTGCCGTAAGGTTAGCTTACGTCGAACGCTATCTTTTTGTCGACGGTTTTAATACCGATTATTTGCGCAAAGTATTTGCTAAGATCTTATTGCTATAAAGCAAAGAGACTAAGAAAAAAGCTTTACCCTTCTCTTTAAAGCAGCTTGAGGCTATTACATCGCTTGCACCTCTTTTTTAATTTGACGAAAATGAGTAAGAAGATCTCGAAACCTCTTTTATTAATAAGGCTTTCGATCAGCTAAACTACGACACAGCTTTAAAAGTAGCGTTCGCAAGTTTTTTATATATTAAAGAGGTCACTTGCGAAGCGGCAGACCTTACGAACACGAAGGTTTTTAAAGCTATTAAGCTTTAACGCCGCGATATCATATTTAAAAAGGAGCACGTGATCTTTCACTTTCGAAGCAGCAAATCCGACACCGACCACACAAATGTAAAGATAGTTTTAACGCAAACGAACGATTACACTTGTCTTGTAACGGCTTTAAAAGCTTTATTCGTCTTCGACTTTCGGCTAGCAAAGTCTCTTTTGTTTCGAACTTCCTTAAGAACTTTGAATAGAGCGAGGTATATTAATAACATGCGCTAGAAGCTTCGACGCGCGAGGGTCTTAAATTAATGGCTTTATTCGGGCTATAGCCTTCGTCGAGGCGCGGCATAGCACGCTGCAAACAACGGGATAATAAAATACGATATCTAGCGGTTAAAAAGATAGTCCTTAAATGCTTTCAAAAGCTACTTCTATATTAGCTTACGCTATAAGCTAATCTTGAACTATCGCTTCTTTACTAGCAGATCAGCCTCGATTATCAAAGTGTTTGCAAACCACTTATAACCGACATTTTATCACAATACTCTTTATTTAGTGTTGGATTGCTTCCAAGCGATTGGGAATATATTCGTAAAGTCGTAACGGTCGTCAAAGTACTTGCAATTGCAAAACACTCGGTTGATAAGGTATCTGAATTCTGTCTGCTCCCCAAGATTTAGAGGAGCTGATTCTTTCTATAAGATTAGAAGGAATCACGTGCACTAGCTAACTAATAGGCCTACTTGTCAAGTTGGGGTCCCTTGACTGCTGACATGCTAAGCGAGGCATGCTAAGTGGCCCGTGAACCATGGTTCACGAGTGAGTTCCTTAACTATTACTACTACTACTACTAGCTAGCTAAGGTCGATATGGATATACCGACACCGGCAACTTTCTCTTTGGCAAGCAGCGCTTTGCTAACTACTATATCGACCGAAAAGGAAGGAAGGTGATCAAAACAAAGGAAAAAAAAAAACAATTACTTCACCA